GGCCTCCTACACGAAGGAAGGTGATGATTTCAGAGAGCTGGCTGGCACCCAGCAACCCTTCCAGATCTCAGAGGAAAAGCTTTTCCCTGTCCTAAGGAGCCTCAGACACATGAAGGTGATGCTGTCAGATAACAGACAAAAAAGTAAATGCTTGCCATTAATGAGCCTCTCATATTTTCCCCAAGAGCTAGTGTTCAGCCCCGAGGCAAGACCATGTGCTCATTTGGATAATTGCATAATTATCGTTCGCCTTCAAAAAGGACCACGCATGCTATTAAGCACAGTCAAGTCACAGGACCTACGTAACACTGCTGCCCTTATCTCAGTACTGGTGGCACAGCAGAGCACAGGGACTTGGTGCCTACCATCCCATACTCAGATGTGAGACATAGCACAAGCAGATCCATGTACCTCTTCATGGGCCAGCCACAAAAAAAATCAGGCAGTCACAATGGCATTGGAGTGGGATAACCAGCACAAGCCCTCAGAATATAAAAAGGGTTTTTATCTGTGCAACAAGCAGGCCTTTTCCAAGCTTTCCAGCCCTGAGCTTTTCTGGCTTTTCATCACCTGGCTTGTCTACTCCCTTAGTGATATACTGCTGCTGTGCAGTGTTGAGATGAGCTGGGCCACACAGTCCCATACCCTGCCCTGGCAAAACCAGCCCTGATGTGCAGACACTGCTTCTGGTTCCAGAAAACTACTAGCCCGAGGCTAGTTCAGGTACGTCACCATGTACTGCATCCTGTATCACCTCCACAGGTAGCAGAGACATTCTGAAAAGCAGCTGTTTTATCACCCCTTCATCCTGTCAGCCAGATACAGCTGTAGAGGCAGAGAAAGTAAAAAAATCAAGACCGTGTCACCAGGTTGGTTTGATGGCTTCATGTTGATGCAAAAAGGCTGTTATCTTTCTGAAATCTAAAATGTCTGCAGGATGCCCCTAACCCTTTCCCCCTCAAGACAACCCGGTTTAAGAAACCAGTTGCATTTCCCTTCAATATGCAGGCATGATGCCTTCATTGAGGGTCACCTCGTGGGCAAGTGAACATAGCCACAAGCAAAGCTTATGCCACTGTATGAATGGTTTGAGGGCAGAAGGGCAGATCAGACATTCTCACATAAACACTACCTGGAAGGAAAAGCTCTGCATTTAAAACAAACCCTTATAATTACTTACTATCTCTTTGTTTTTAAAAGACTGTAATTGGACAAGCTCACCTGCACTATGTAAGCCACTGTGCAGTCTCACACTGCTCGGACTGAATGCTGTTTTGTTTTGTTCCCGGCATGCACAGAAGCCACAGCATTCCCACAGCTGGGAACTGCACACAATCTTCACATAAAAATCACAAACAAACCTACCAACCTGCAATAGGGCCCAGCATGCTGTTTTCCTTTAGAAGTGTCATTAAATAAAGAAGCAGTGCAAGAAGTGTGCCCTGTGAGCAAACGTTTTATCTATGATAACTTTCATTACTGCCTAACCTTTTCCTGGCAACACTGAGCATGAGCTGATCCTAAGCATGTCCTTGTCCCACCCCTCTGTGCCTCGGGGTGTGCAATATGTTATGATTTGATATGTTGAAAAGCTCGTTTTCATGGCTGCGTTTGTTCCAGCTTTGTTCCTTGCATGATAGGATACAGGACCACGTTATACTTGTCAACATTGTGTTTCCAGGAAGCAACTATAAATAGGCACAGCTGAGATGATAGCTAAACCTCTGCTTAGGGCAAGCCAGGCATGTTTCCTTAGTAAGGCCAGAAAGCCACCTCTCCTTTGCCATGCTGCAAATGAGAAGGAAAAAAGAGTATCTGTGAAACTAAAAGCTCACTTAAAGAAAAATCACACACCAACATGCACACATACATTTACAGCACTTCTATTTTGGCCAGAGCTTAGTAACAAAAAGCAAACTTTAAACAAAGTGAGAAGCAGCCACTGAAAATTTCAGTTACATCATGAAAGTCATCCTATGAGAACATCTTCCCAGCACCAGGCTGACTTTGACCTTAAAAAGTCACATCTAACCAACACTGTCTGCCTTAGGAACTCTGCTCTCATGGACTCACAGCAGCAAAGCAGAAATACTGCACTACAGCTATTTCAAATCATGCACATGTGGACAGAAAAGAACTCAGCAAACACAGAGCCAAAGTGACAGATTTCGGCTGCTTATCAATGAACTTTCAGGGCTCACTCCCAAAACCCTCTGGCATTTCAAAGCAGAGAAAACCCAGCTTTTGGCAGGACGTGTTGCAAAAGCTTGATGGTCCTGTACAGTCACAGTGTTAGTAAATGCAGGCTGTCTCTTGAATTGCTTAATCTTGAAGGGAGTGGGGAAATACTGTATTGTTTTATTGATGGTTAGCCCAGAAGGAAAACATATGACACAGTGTATTCTGGGCCACTGACTCTTACTCCACTGACCCTGGGAATCCAAAAGAAGAGGCTCATTGAACAGCTTCTGGCAAAACACCTTCTGGTCAGGTTTTTCTAGTCTCTTTCCCCACTCCTCTCAGATTCCTAACAAGCACTCAGATTCCAAAAAAAAAATTTTAAAAATCATCAAACCCTCTCAGAGAAACACAATGATTCTCTTCCAAGTATTTCCTTCCCATCTGCAGACTCCCTTCTGGAGCCAATCTCACACACCTCTGCAAAGCCCAGGTTTGTGACCCAACATCAGCAATCACAACTATGACCAGCAGCTCTCTCCCTTTATACCTTCCAGAAAGGAGTCTCCCTGGCTAATTAAAAAGTCCTCCCCCCTCCTCCCCCATCCACCCCATGCAGCTGAAGCTACCTGACTCCATGGCTCAACCAGTTTCACAAGATCAAAGCCCGTGCAGTTGTTCAAGCAGCTTTTCAATTACTCCTCCCATTTCTATCATGACTTACAGGACCACTTGAAGAGTGCCAAAACCCAGAGGGATCGATTACTTCTGCCCTGTGACAGGCAGTGAGCTGGGGTACAGGACAAGCTGGAAGCACAGTGGCATTACATTACACGCACACACAGTTTTGCTGCTGAATGATTGACAAGAACTATTGGATGTCACTATTTTAGGGATAATGTCATTTGCCTAATTATCTGGCAGCATCTCTCTTCAGCAGCTGGCATTATTCACAAGGGAAGAATTAGACTGAAATCCAGCTGTAGAATAAGCAGATTTGCTATTCCACGCAGACAATCACCATGTTTTAGAAGCTCAGTATGTATGGTATATATCACTGGTAATTTTCATACTCCCAGGCCCTGGAGAATATTAAGATGATATTCCTTCTCTATTTTACTGTGCCATATGTATCACATGATCTCATACTTCAAAATAATTTAATATTCTCTGTCTTCATCTGACCATCTGTTTTTTATGGAGCTCAAACCAGGAGGAGAAAGAGAATTTGCCTTACTTGATTTATCCTATAATCTCACCATAGCAAAGCGCCTTCTGCACAACCCTTTGGGCCAGTTCAGCTCTCAGCTATTCAGATTTTAATGCATCAAAACTTGGTTTGTTCTGACATAACAGAACACACTGCTAAACACAAAACAGCATCACCTGAATAAACTGTGCAAAACCCAAAACCAAACAGCACTTGGCCCAACCCACAGTCTTGAAAGGGTACTGACAGAGACTGACTTGCATTGGAATTGGTCCCATATGTGGGTCACAGCTGTACAGCTTTAACCAATCCCTCACTCTTCTGGCATGCCACAAGTAGAATTGAGCAAGGCCACAACAGACCATACCCAAATACACGTTTTGCTGATGGAACCCAGGTAACAGTATCCAAATGAAACTGACTCTTCCTCCTTTCCAATGCTATGAGCAAGAAGATGCCAGAGGTTATGCAAAGCGTGTCAGAAACACCTCTCCCTGAAACTAGACTGTCTCAGTACTGACATCTCCTTGCTACAGCATCCTATGCCACCCCAGAACAGCTCTCTCAGGGGATGCTGATTGTATGGTCATCCGGGTCAGGGAGGCCACAGAGCAGACTGGCTGTCTGATCCAAGCTGCCTGCCCCATGCCTTGATGCTTGTGCTGATAATAGAGCACTTTTGCAATAGGGAAAGGAAAAAAAAATAACCAAACTGCCCTCTAGGGTCCTGGGGGGGGGGGAGGACAGAACAAGAGATGCATGTACGTATGGGAAACGGCTTCCTGAGAACAGCCTTGAGACCTGGGAGCGGAGGCTGACTCAGGGAGGCAATGCTGCTCTGACTCTAATGCAGATGCAAAAATGTCAGACAGATACAGGCAGGAAGAAGAATCTCCCCCTGTAGGACCAACACTAGAATGAAAAGACATTTAGTAACTGAGCTGAACAGCACCAGACAGGCATGCCAATTTCCTAGGATTTAAGCACAGGCTCACAGTTAATACAGGGAAATAAAAAGGCTTGGGTGTAACCAGCACCAATTTGCCTTTAAATAACAAGGCACACAGTAGCAAAGGCAACAGCTCCTTGTCTTCACCTCCCAGAAAACCTAAAGGGTTTCACTGAACACTTCCCCCTTTGCCATCAGTTTGGAATGTGCTCCACACAGCAGGACAGGCCCCTGGGCCTTGGGTCTCTGGTCATCCAGCAGCAATGTCCCACAACCAAAAGCACAGACGCAGTGCAGAGCACAGACACAGTGCAGAGCAGGGTCAGCTCTGAGCAGACAAACAGCCAGATCTGCAGAGTCATGTGAATTGACACCAACACAAACACCTTATGCCTTGGAAGGAAAGCCTGTTTTCTTTGCGTTTGCACACACATTACAGGAACACTCTCCCTGCAGACAATACAGCAAGCAGGAATTTCACTCCTTCCTGGAAGCTGGATGCACCTTGGGTATTTTCTATTGGGAAAGCAGAGGTGCTGTTATCCCAGCTGACAACTTGTTCCTGGTGGGCAGCAAGAGACAGTTATTCACTCAAGCAGAAAATTCAAGCTATCATCTCAGCCACGGGTTCAGACAAAGAGAATGAATGAATGAAGAGCTCACCGATAAATGATGCCTCTTTCATGGAGAAACATAAGGGCTGAAATAATTTCTGCAGCATAGAACCGGGCCCGATCTTCATCGAAGCGACGCGACTTCTGAATATGGAACATCAAGTCCCCGCCATTTACGAACTCCATCACAAAGAACAGGCGATCCTTCACACACGCAAACACAACAGACATGAACAGCATTAATCATATCCTCCATCAGGCTTAGAAAATTCTAACTATCATCACCCAAACATAAACAGATTGAGCACCCATGAGACACTGGGGAAAAACCCACTGTTTTGAGGAGGGAAGAATTAAGCCGATGTCAGGAAGATTTGTTAATAACTCCTTGCCATGCACTCCTCCCACCACCCAAAGTTTAGCCCCCAGAAACAAATTCCTGTTCACACGTGGATCAGACATATCAGCAGGTGCTGATACAGAGGGTTTATTGAACTGGTTCCAGCAGTGAGATGCCCCTTCAGCAGCACTTTCTGAGCTGAGCAGTCAGAAAACTGCTAAAAGTCATTCCCTCCTTACTCATTGCAACTTTCTGGGGATAAATGTTTCATAGTACAGCGTGCAAAGCCAGACAGCAGCTTTGCCTCAGCAGTACGAGAGCTCTGAACATTGACAACAACACTGTCTTTAAGATATCCTGACAGTATTTCTAGGGAATACACATTATCTTATTGATAGGGATTTCCTGTCATCCACTGCATGGCAGCTGCATTTTATGCCTCCATATTTCAGCCTTCCTGACAGGTCTGATTAAACTAAAGATCACTGTGTGATGAAGGAACTGGTAAGGACAAAGCATAAACCAAAGTCTCCACTGGGCAGCAAAGTGAGCAGCTCAATAAAGTTCAGCCCATTAACCACAGCTGCTGGTCTTTGAAGTTTCTATTTTAGCTTTGTCCTGGATTTTGCACAAGTCTGCAGATAGGGAGACACTTGCTTAAACTGCAAGTTCAACAGTCTGGGTGCGAGCTCAGCGTGCCAAAGGGTGCTCACGTAACTGAGAGAATGGATACACAATGATTTTCCACAAAACTAAACCCTAGAATTGTTTCAGAATTTCCCTATTACATGTTTCAGGACATTTAGCACTAATTGTTTCAGTTTTACTCCAGGCAACAGGAACAAGCAGACTGCAGAGCAGGCACACATCTCACATGAAGCCAGCCAGCCCTGCAGAGGTACTATATGCCCTTCTCTCCCTACAAGCCCCTTCCCAGGTCTGATGTTAATCATCTACAAGCTGGCTTTAAACTCTCTCTAAATTTAAGAGGATGAGCATTGTTGTTCTCCACTTTCCGGCAGCCAGCCAGCTTGCAATGACTACTAATGCAAAGGCATTAACATCCTGAGATGTACACAGAAAAGCAACCAGGAATCCCTTCAATCCTCTCCATCCATGAGCAAACCTCTCATAGTGGAAGAAGACAGCGTGCTTCTCGCCACCATCCTGGGTTTGGTTCAACAGCTCCTTCTGTGCTCCTTCGAGAAGCAGCAAGGCTCAGACAGGTTGTACACCCAGCAATCTAACACTGCACACAGTACCATGGCCACATGTTGACAGCTCTTTCCAGTCCATACAGACAACAGCACTTCAATGTTTCACTCTGGCTGCATAGCTTAGGGCTGGCTGGCTATGGCAGCAGTCTAAGCTAGAGCAGCACACACTGCAAACCAAGTACCAACACTGGATTTTCAGCTCACATCAGATCTGTCAAGCCACACATTCACTGCAGTTGGCTGGACTGGACGTGGCTTTGCCATGCCTATCTGTTTTGCAGCCCAGGTACCACTTCTGTTGTGCCAGTCAGGCCAGCTTCTACATCTCCTTCCCCCCTCCTGATCTCTCCACATGCCACATGTTTATCTAGCCCAGCTTGCCCAGACACCTTTACAGTCCCACACTTGAAAAAAAAAAGTAATAATAAAAAATCCATCTTGCCAGATCCTCTACAGGAAGTAATTTAATTTACCAGCAACTTGACAAGTGATGTGCATGTGTATCTATGTAAGTAATATGTATGCTTGTATAAACATGCACACAGTGAGGAATACGTATTTTCTACTCTCTGTTAAAGGTAAGCTTCAGGAGACAAAGTTAACCCTTTTCCTCTGCTTCTCCAGTTCCAGCAGAGCTCCATGGCCCACCTCAGACTTCTGGATGCACTTCTATGCTTTGCAATGTTTAAAGGAAGCTTCTCCTTTCTTCTTAGACATTCCAGTATGCACTGAAACATTCTGTCACAAAATTACATTATTATTTACATGGGAATATGCAGCAGACATGAGTGAGTATCACTGCACAAGCTGCATGGTGCTCACAAGTGTGCTAAGGCTAGTGATAGGACAAGGGGAAATGGCTTGAAACTAAAAGGGGAGATTTAGGTTAGATGTTAGAAGCAAATTCTTTACTCAGAGGGTGGTGAGGCGCTGGCACTGCTTCCCAGAGCTGTGGGTGCCCCATCCCTGGAGGTGCCCAAGGCCATAGATGGGCCCCGGGCAGCCTGAGCTGGAGGGGGTTGCAATGAGCCCATGGTATTTAAGGTCCCTTCCAACCTAAGCCATTCTGTGATTCTCCTCTAGCCATGGTCTCATTTCATAGGCCAAGCATAAATAATCCACTATTTAATTAATGAAGTTCTCCTGTTTAGGCCTAACACAACTTTTGACTACCCAAATTTTTATTTATTTATTTTTGTACTGTCCAGCTAAAGCCTACAGTTTTCTAACTGTATCCTACATAGCTGCTGAAGAAAAGAGCTGGATGAATATTGCAGCTTCTTCGTAACACAGCACACGTGCACTGGCCTCCTGCATACCTTGCAACAAATGCCAGCACTTGTGGGGATCATGAATCTAAGGAGCAAGCAAGGGCTGCCATTTCCACTCCTAAGTGAAAATCAGCTTGCCAAGCTATAGAGACCAACTCCTCTTCCAGGAATTGTTGAGAAATAAAATAAACAGTGGTATTTTATGGAATGAATAAAGGCAATTCGCAGCATGCAAAGTAAGAGTATACAAATAGCTTAAAAGGGGGGTCAGGAAAGGGAAAGCCTAAAATAGCAGGCAGTTCAGATGCTTGCAAATTTGAGCCGGCTCTCCCTGTATTTCCTGAGCACAGGTGCTGCTCTGCACACAGGTGAGAGAAAACTCAGGTGAGCTCTGCTTCACACCAGGAGGCTGCAGCTCCTCTCTCAGGTCCAACCCCAAGTGCCAGTTAGAGCTGTGAGCTCCTCCCCTGAGGACTTCTCGGTGCAAATCAGGGGTAGGAGAAAGCTGGAGTGTTTTTGCCAGGGCTCAGCACTGAAATCCTCATGACTGTTTTCTGTTTTGCATTGCTCACGAGTTTTCCCTGATGTGCTCTCTCTTCTTGATACTGGCAAAGTAAGAAAGAACATTTGAGTCAACAGGAAACGGTGATGCTAAAGCTTTCGCAGCAGCGGCAGCCGCGTGAGGAAATCACATTGCAGCCTTTCTGTACTGGGATGGAGGTTGAATAAAGCCACAGAGCAATTGTTATAGTGAACAAAATAAACACGTAGAGGGAGCATTAATACAGTCCACGGAATCGGTAAGTTCATAAAGCTGGCTTACAGCCAGAGATCAGCTCTGCCAACTTCACTGAGAGACAACCAGATGGGTTTGTAGATTTGTCTGTTTAAATTTGAGTTTGCCATGCTGGGGCCATCTAAAGAACACACAACGAGTGCCCTAAGACCAAGCCAGATATCAGGTACCCTCAAACAAACTCCAACCCAAACACTGCTTTAGCCATTTCTAGATCTACTAAGAAGCTGTTTTGAACCCTCATAACTTTCCTCTTATTTAAGATTGCTATCACCATAGGAATTTTAATACAATCCAGACTGTATTAAGATTTTATTGTAACTTTATTAAAATCTTTTCTCTGACCCAAAAAAGGCCAGCACAATGGCTGGCTTCTACCCACTTCCAGTTAAGAGCCATTCAAGGCCAGGCTGGATGTGGCCCTGGGCAGCCTGACTGGTTGTGGTTGGTGACCCTGCACATAGCAGGGGGGTTGGAACTAGATGATCATTGTGGTCCTTTTCAGTCCAGGTCATTCTATGATTCTATGATAAGCCACACAAGATCAGTGCCAAAGACCTCTGAATTCAGCTAGGGTGAGAGCATTATCTCCTTCCACATTAAATAAATGCAAGAGGGCAGCATCACTGCCCCAATTTAAGGGATGTGGAGGGAAGAGAAGGGGAAGAGATGCATTCCTATGTGCAGACATCAAAGAAGACAACAGAGCTCTGTGCCAGAGCCTGTAAAGTGGGCCTGGAGGAGTTCTGTTCATCACTCAGCAGCAAAACTCCCCCAGCACTGCTCCTGCCCACGCTGCTTCCCTGCAGGACAAGGACACAACCCAGGAGGAATTTCACACAAGCCTGCTCTTTTGCTGACAGCTGTCATCCAGAGCAGCATCTAGAGATGGACCACTGGTCAAATGTGGTTTAGACCAGCAGTGCAGGCCTCCAAAAAAAAAAAAACAAAAAAAACCTGTCTGGCAGTGGAATTCTGCTAAGCTTGCATTTCATCCTTTTCAAAGTAACTCATGCACACAACTCCTTAGAAAATCAGCTTTGGACTTGATCTGAGTTCACTGAAGCCAAAGGGTTTCCCCAAGAAAACAGTCATTTTTCACTGTTTTGGCAGTATAAGCTCTGCAGAGCAGAAAGCAGGCTTTCAAAATTATCTTCATACAGAGACAGCTGTGTCACTGCTCCACAGCAAAAGTTTACTGCTTCCAAAAACGAGTAGAAGGGCTCAGGGAGCTTGTAAGCAAATTGTAACATGATAATTAAAAGAGCTGGCAGGCTCCCTCAGTATTCCCAATGTTCCCTTACTCCCTTTGTGGCCAACAACCCCCACACAAAGCAATCTGCCCCTGGTCTTGCCAGGAACATGCAAACAAGCAGGACAGCCTCAGGACTGGCCTTTGGGAGGCCACACGTCCAGCCCTGCCAGCAGGGTGAGTGACCATTAACTGGGTCAGTGCACTCCACAGCACGGGACCTGGAGGAGGAATAATAAGTAGGTCTGTTTCCCAGTATTTATTTCTGTAGGTGTAACACAACCAATAACGCTGGATCGCAGGTGTCATCAGAACGTGAATCGTATGA